GATCATTATCAGAACCAAGTTCTGTATTTCATTTGAAGATGGATGCTAATGTAATGTAATGCTGACAATTCATATTCCCATTTGTTATGAGTAATCCTTTTATATTTGAGTCAAAATAATAGTTTCTGCATCTCATATTTGCCATTGATTACTGATTGGTGTTTTCACTAGCTTTTCATTCAATGGATTCTTCTTAATTGTCTTTGTGCTGGGTGTTGCCATATGGACGCCTACCCTTTCCCCTCTGCAGCAAGTATCGGAGTTTGATCTATTTACATTGGATGATATCGATTCTGCTTTCCAAGTTGTAACCAGACTAACATACTCCCAGAATCATCATCTTTCAGGTGGCTATTCTCGGTCTTGTTTATTTAAGATCAAAGTTAGTCAATCTCTCTCTCTCTCTCTCGGTTGGTTAATAATGCCGTATGTTTGATTATGACCTCACCTAATATATCTTGGAAACTCAGTCACTCATTCATCTAAGAAGCAAAAATAAGATATGACATGATATGTTATGAATATAATGACTGTCATTTTCTAAACAGAAAAGAAAAAGGAAAAAAACTGAAGGACATCTACATGACAATAACAATTTTGCTGAAATATGTGTCTCCTATGGGCAATTAAAGATGCCAATGACATGTTTCCCATGATGCTGCATTTTACAACAATGTCATATAAAAGCAATGGAAAACCAAATAACCATATTTCTAAGGATTCAATGTCTTCAAAGAAAAAGAAATTTAAAATCAAATATTTCCATACAATGGATATGCTTAAATGGTTTAATGTTTGAACCCTAGTCATCCGTCCTTTTGTTTACATTTTGTTCTTCAATGCCTTTGTCTCTTATTAACAAAATTACTTTGCTCTCTTATTTTTGTTGTATCTCATGCATGAACTTGTTTGTATCTGTTTGAAATTAAAAAAAATAGTATAAAGAGATTTAACAATTGAGTTTGAATGTCCAATTAGTGTTGGATTGTTAAGGTATCCAGCTTATATAAAACATGGCCATACTACTTAGATTAAAATGTCTGTTCTCTATAGTTGTATAGCGATGTGATGATTTGTTGAAATTTGTTGTTAAGACTTGGCAATTCCTTTTTTCTTTTAATATAGATATATATTTTATTTTTTTAAGATGAGACTAAACTTTCATTAAGAACCAAAAAAAATTATGTGGAGCAGGCCCAAAAGCCCAACAAAACAAGAACTAACCAGAAACCACTCAATATTTTCAATAAAAGAAGTAGATGTCTCAAAATAAAAGGAGAGTAAAGACCAAAAGGCAAATATTGAATGCTAATCAGGAAGAAGGTTATGGCTTATTATTTGTTTACCGTTACTTAGGTTGTTCTCAAATACTTAGGCTGTATAGAGTCTCTTTCCTTTGGCTTTTGCGATCTTGTGGGTGTGCAGTAGAGATTGTTGTTCTATGATAGAGGCAATTCTTCATTTTCCTCCCTTTTGAGTGTTTTTGCAGGCCTGTTTTTTTGCTATTTTTGGTGGGTTTATGACTTGAGAGGCATTTTTAGAGGGGTGAAGAAGTCTTGGAAGATGTGTGGGAGGTTGTTAGATTTAATGCCTCTTTGTAGGGTTCTGTTACTAAACCATTTTGTAATATCGGTTAGGTTTTATTATTTTGGATGGGAGCTGTTTGTTAGTTTGGACTCCTTATGAGGGGCTGGTTTCTTGTTATGCCATTGTTTTTAATTTCATGTTTCTCAATGAAAGTATGGTTTTTCATTTTAAAAAAACTCCTCTCTAATATTTTAATGACAGGCAAAGGAGAGGGAATAGTTATTGCACCTCACGTGGCTGGGCATCTTTTGGGGGGAACCCTATGGAAGATAACTAAGGATGGAGAAGATGTTATATATGCTGTTGACTTCAACCACCGCAAGGAAAGGTATAGTAACTGTTGTTACAAGCACCATCACTTGCATTAAGATAATACAAGGATACTTATTTTAACTTACTATCAGGCATCTGAACGGAACCATTTTAGAGTCATTTGTGCGACCTGCTGTATTGATAACTGATGCTTATAATGCTCTAAATAATCAACCTTACAGACGCCAAAAGGACAAAGAATTCGGAGGTACTTAAAATCTGTTTTAGGTTTTTAAAATTCTTCATTGCATCTGCAAGAGATTCCATCATTTGCCTCATTCTTCCCCTCAGCCTCCATGCCTGCTTGCGGGGAAAAAGTGTATTTATGCTAAAAGTCCTTTGTTAAGGATGATTAGTAGTTTTTGCCAATAATTGTTGATGAAAGTTACCATTTTGGTTAACATAGATACTATCCAGAAGACCTTAAGAGCTAATGGAAATGTGTTACTTCCTGTTGATACTGCTGGGCGAGTGTTGGAGCTTATTCAAATTTTGGAATGGGTTAGTTGGGGGACGATAAAACCCCTTTTGTCTTTTAATCTATTTTTGTTGTAAAAATTTTCATTCGTGTTAACTAAGAAGCAATGTTCAGTCTCATTGATAAATCATTGTTATTATTGCAGTACTGGGAAGAAGAAAGTTTAAATTATCCCATCTACTTTTTAACTTATGTTTCATCAAGCACAATTGATTATATCAAGAGTTTCCTGGAGTGGATGAGTGATACAATAGCAAAGTCTTTTGAACACACACGGAACAATGCTTTTCTTCTCAAGTAAGTATTCTTCTAAGTGTTACATTTTCTCTCTTTCGGTAGGAAAGTGAAAATTCATTTAAAAAGAAAGGAGCACAGACAAGGGGATAGTTGCAAGTAAATCCCGTTGCCTTGAGGGTTCAAGTGTTTCATATTTTATAACATGCTCTAGTTGCCTTTGATTTTAGAAATTGAGACTAAAATAAATTTTAATTTAGCAGAGTGCTGTGAAGTGATATGAGTGAAACTAAGAACTCTTACCAGGCAGTTGCTCCAAATCTTGCAGGCATGTGACCCTTCTAATCAATAAAAGTGAACTTGATAATGCTCCAGATGGTCCAAAGGTTAATTGCAATAAATTGTTGATTTTGCTCAATGTTTTACCTCCTTTTGCTCGACATTTAAATGAATTGCCTTTTATGTCATATCTCTTATAGGTTGTTCTAGCATCAATGGCTAGTTTGGAAGCTGGTTACTCACATGACATTTTTGTTGAGTGGGCAAATGATGCCAAAAATCTCGTGCTTTTTTCTGAGAAAGGCCAGGTA